CCCCCTTCCCTAAACCCAACCAATAGTATTTTAAAAAGCACAGATTGACCCTCCCACTCACTTCCCTTAAACCAACTGACAAATTTAAAATGCAATCCAGAAAAGAAAAGCCGACATCTGATTTTCTCACCCTAATATTTACTTGTTTATTTTATTTTTTGGCTTTTGTTTTTGTCTTACCTGGTTTCTGGAACCGTTATTCACCTGACTCGACCTCCCGTCGTCTGGGTCATCTCCTCTCTGCGTCTCAAGTCCACCAATGTACATGGCAAGCTAACTTGACAAACTGGTAACAGCCGGAAAGCTGTCCATACGGAGTTAAGTGGTCAGCTGGTAAGCGTGAAAAAGAACAACGTCATACCGCCCTGTATCAAAATGAAATACAGCCATACGTTCTTCTGGCTACATAATTCACGATCTCCAGAAATGTATATAGGGCTACATTTTCAGAATGAATGTTGGGAACAACACCCTAGTAGCAACACATCACTGTTTCAAGTTTTGCATATGCAGCAATCATCAAGCAACCACTTAGCAACACCCTAATAACAACACATCAATGCATCATGCTTGCAAGTTTTGCAAATGCAACAACATCCAGCATCCACTTAGCAACTCCCTAGTAACAACACATCAATGCATCATGGTTTCAAGTTTTGCATTGGTAATAATCATCCAGCAACCGCCTATTGTAGATCCTTCAAACAACCACTAAGCAAACAGGCATAATATCCTAGCAACACCGTTGCCAGTTTTGCACAAACAACACAAAATAGTGACCACCAAGCAACACCCTACTATCAAGAAACCACGTTTAGCACACACAAGATGATCCAGGAACCACCTAGATTACTTAGCAACCATCAAACAACACACTATAAAGTTATATACAAGCGGCCCAAATCAGCAAGCAACCACAAACACCTAGTATTATGGCTGCAAGTTTTGCACAAGCAAAATCTACTAGTGAAAACATGGATCTTCCTAAAATCCAAAAAGCATGAGTTTTGTCGTGTTTGCATACTTTTTATATGAGAAACCTCCCTGAAATTCTATAAGATGCTTTGTGCAATAAATATTATACTTAAACATTTAATTCCAAAAAGCCCAGAGCTCAAACTTTTACACTTCACATAAATGAAGAAAAAATCAACTCAACACTGTTACTCTCAGCATGGCAGAATTACATTTCGGATTGCAAAGCAGTTAAATAAAATTAGATGAGTACATTAAACACAAGTGCTAATATGATGTCTGGTTTGAGTGCAGCAGATGGAACAACACTGGCAATCCTTTGGGGCAAGATTAAGTCAATATTAAGCCCTTGCAATAATAAAGAAATACATTATATGTGTATATATGTACATACACACATACATACATACATCCATACACCCATACATACATACATACATACACACACACATACACACACACACACACACACACACACACATCCATCCATACATACATACATACATACATACATACATACATCCATACATCCATACATACATCCATACATACATCCATCCATACATCCATCCATCCATCCATCCATACATACATACATACATACATACATACATACATACATACATACATACATACATACATACATACATACATACATACATACATACATACATACATACATTTATATATAGTTTACTCGAGTGTGCTAGCAAACAAAAGCATATTTCTATACTGATCATTCACCCACAAATAATTTAGTTTATCATGTACTTCTTCCAAATGTTTTTAAATTTGTATCACAAAAGAAGATGTTTTGAAGTATGTTGGTAGCCATTGACTTTAATAGTATTTTTTTTCCTTTCTATGGATACAATATATATTATTATTGACATATTTATAAATTGATATTCATTTAGAGTAAAACAATTACTCTAAACATTATAATATTTTAAGTAATACTCAAAAAACAACATTATTTTTTGTTATTGTACCTGTTAAAGTAAAGCAACCCTTTTTCGCAGCTCCAGCAATGTCGCAATAATACCTTATATTGTGACAAAAGCTCCAGAAATGATCACAACAAGAAATTCTGATACCGTCGTATGCCTACTGCCATCTGTGGATTAGCCATTCCCAGCCTGAACACTTTCACACACACGCATACACATCAGTTTCTCTGTTCCTACAGCAACAGCTTACTTTCCGTGTCAACTGCAAAGCTGTTTCTATGGACACATATACAGAAAAAAAAAACTCTTTGCTCTACAGCCAGAGACCAGATGGCAGTGAACTGTAAGAGTCACATGGAACGGCTTTACTGTTCTGACTAACTTGCAGACACACGCACACCATAAACACACACACACACATACAGTAGTACACATACTCTCAAAGTAATACGCACCGGAATGCAGCCTTTGACAAAAATCAATCAGCACTCAATGAGCATCTAATGAGTCTCAATTCATAAGCTTTGCCTCTTTATCAAACAATTGCAAAATGTTCTCTAACAGGAATCATTTCAATCAGCAAATACAGATGTTTTAAAACCAAGATAGCAAGTCACAGCTCTAAATATTGAAATGTTCAGCACACTAATGGAGCATGGTGTTCAAACTGTAAAGCTCTTTTGCAACTGTAGTTATCTCCATTACAAGCTACAAGAACAAAACTGGTGTAAAACGAAAAAACAAGAAATAACATTTACATTAACGCTCAATTCTTTAACATTGGTTAAAGGAAAAGTTTACCCAAAAATGAATACTCACTCTTGACTGTTTGAATATCTTTCTTCCGTTGATCACAAAAAAAGGTATACTGAAAAATGTTGGAAACCTGTAACAATTGACTTCCGTACAGTACAGTAGTTTTTTTTTTATTGTGGTATAGAAATGGTTACAGGTTTTCAACATTCCTCAAAATATCTTCTTTTGTTTTTAACAGAAAAAAGCAGCTTAAACAGGTTTGAAACAAGTCAAGAGTGAATAAACCATTGCAGAATATTGATTTGCTGAGTGAACTATCCCTGTAATGCATTGTGAACTAAAACTGAAAAATAAACGTAGTTTAAGTGTTTTATTTACCTCTTGCTTTATCAAACTGTACTGTTTATATAGGTTATAAAAATGTAAGTAATAAAATTAGCAATTACTTGTTTTCCACCATATTTATTTTTTGCGCAAAAAAGTATGGTCACACTTTGTTTTATTGGTCCGTTTGTTAAATTTAAGTTACATTGCATCTACATACCAACTAATTCTTATAAGATAATAAGTACTGTTAGGTTGGGGTTATGGTTAGGTTTAGGGTTAGTGTAAGTTGACATGTAATTGCAAAATTTCTTATAGTCAGTTAAATGTCTGTTGAAGGAGGATATCAACAGATATTAAACAGATTATTAATACACAAATAGACCATCAAAATAAAGTGTTACCTTATTTTTTAATAGAAACTTTATATAATTGTTATCACTCAAAACTGTTTCATAAAAGCTTTTGTTTGTCCAAAAACATTATAAGGTTTATCTTGGTGACCACACAATATATTTATAATTCTAATTATAATAATAGAATCACCCATATGCACTAAAATCACTGTATCCACAGCTTTTCATGACTAATGCTTCAACCAAAAATGACTTTTCCTGCTTGTTCAACTACTTCAAATGAGTTAAAACAACACAATGATTGTGTTTTTTGGGGAGGCCAACTTAAATGTTTTATGTTCAATCCACTTAAATTAGTCAAAAAACATTTAAGTTGACTTAATTAATTTGTGTTGGGACAACATGAAGGAATTGTGCGCAACCTTACATTTTTTACAGTGTTTACTGTCATGTCTTACTGTAAGTAAATCTTGACTATCAAAATAAGGTTTGCATTTATTAGTTATTTAATAAATCTGATATGGCAAGGTACATTATTCATATTATCCTGGATTTTTTGGATTTGGATTTTTGGAAGTGTGTCTGATTTTTATATAACACATTAACATATAATATTTATAGTTATTAGTGCTGTTAATCGAATTATCGCGTTTAAAAAACTGTTTGTAAACAAGCTTGTATTGAATAAATGTTTATCACAAGGCGCCTTTTCCTCTGTTTTTAACCCAGTATCTTGAACTTTCTCCCCCTTTATGAGCAAACACTTTTGGAAGACTATAAAAGCTGTTTGCATTTATCAATTTAGCCAATTTTAAGAATTATAAACAACATGAAACATAAGCATTTTTATGTTCTGATTGCAATTCCTATGTAGAAGAATCACTTAAATTGCTTGAATTTAATTCATAATTCCCTTATAATTAAAATAAGCATTTCATATTTTTGCAGGTCACTTCACCTAAAATGTATTCATTCTTTTGGTTTATTTGTTGATAACTGACCAACAAAAATACACCAAAATAAAGATACAAATTATACCAAATGAAATTTGTTACAAAAAGAGCATTTTTACAACAAAATTAGGCTATTTGAAGTAGTCTAAAATTGTTTCAATGTTTCCTGTTGCTATTTTTGGGTTTTTCATCTATTGATTTTTTTTTTTAAAGTCTTATCAGGTAACAATCCAAAGTAATTCAAAATTTCACTTTGTAAGTCATTCCTTTTTAGAAGATTGCTGCAGTTGTTTTAGCTACCTAATCATATTGACCAGAACAGAAATGAACCGATTCAGTTTTGCGTTTGAAACGTCAGAAAACACCAGCAAATATGCAACCTTAAAAGGCTCTACAGACTATCAAAATAAAATGGTCTGTTGTTGGACAAACGTGCAAGCATTTTACTGACACATGCAACAATATCTATTGTAGATAGACTGTTAATGACGATACTACCGTTTACAAAATACAGTGGCATCGGCAGTATTTCAGAGCTATAGTATCGCTATGCGACCATAATACCAGTAATCCGTGCAACCCTAAAGTAAATATCTGCAGACTCAAAACTACAACCACCAAAAAAGTGTCAAGTAACCTAAAAAGGTCAAAAATAAAATGTGTAAATATGGTCAGTGCATCCTTACCTGACTCCTGTCCTTGTCCACTTTCTTAAAACACTTATTGAGGGAGAGATTGTGCCTGACAGAGTTCTTCCACCCCGTGGGGGCATTGGCAAAGTAAGGGAAGTGTTCCAGAATCCAGTTGTAAATGTCTTTAACCGGCAGTCTCTTGGAAGGAGCATCTTCTATGGCCATGAAGATGAGACAGCTGAATGAATAAGGAGGTTTGCAGTTTGGGTTCTGCTTGGCATCATATGGGAGGTCCGAGTGGGCTGGAGAAGGCGGGGTGTCATCGTCCAGATCCTGGACGGGACTGACGCTCCTCAGCACGGGGTCACCGAAGCTGTTGAGCAGATTTTTGCTCTCGTGGAGCCAGTTGAGGTTGGTGAGCTCCTCGTCCTCCACGCTCCCCTTCTCCAGTTTGATGGTGGGAAGAGCCAGGTCCATCTCCTCAGCCTCCTGCAGGGCTCTGGTGATGGAGCTGGCCTGATAGAACTGGCTCAGGCCGCTCGCCACGCTGACCCCAGAACTTTCCGGCTTCTTACTGGGAGGCATAACCGGACCCATTTAGACCAAGGCTCCTGTGGATGACAACACAGAGAACATGTTTACAATCAAGAAACAATTCACCAATAAAAAACATTGCATCTATAATATAAGACTACAAGCAGTGATTACAGTACAAACAGTAGTTTAACACTTTGTTATTAGCCTCTTCTGAAAGTCTAATAAACAGCTGATACTACATACTACTGTCATTTATAGTAAACACTAGTGTTTTTGAACCATACTGTAGTAGACTGTTTTATACTGTATATATTATAAGATTTACAATACTTTGTAATAAATGCTACAGCATACTAAATTATTAAATATTGATATATACTTTAGTTTTTACAACATTAAGCTGTGGGTATTGCAGTATAACATGCCCTATGGTTGTTGAAAACTACAGTATTGGGTCATTTGTTTATATTACTGCTTGTTGTGTTACAATAGCAACTATAGAATCACCACAACAGATGAACTCAATATTCATACTTGATTTCAAGGGTTCAGGGGTCAGATTTGTTAAATAACTAAATGCAAACCTTCTTTTGATAGTCAATATTAACTTACAGTAAGACATGACAGTGAACACTGTAAAAAAAAATGCAGGGTTGCGCACAATTCCTTCATGTTGTCCCAACACAAATGAGTTAAGTCAACTTAAATGTTTTTTGTTTTTGTTTTTTGACTAATTTACGTGGATTAAACATAAAACATTTAAGCTGGCCTCCCCAAAAACACAATCATCGTGTTGTTTTAACTCATTTGAAGTAGTTTGAAAAAGCATCAAAAGTCATTTTTGGTTGAAGCTTTAGTCATGAAAAGCTGTGGATACAGTTATCTTAGTACATATGGGTGATTCTATAATTATGAATACATTGTGTTGTCACCAAGATAAACCTTATGTTTTTGGACAAACAAAAGCTTGTATTAAACAGTTTTGATTATTAAAACAATTATATAAAGTTTCTATATAAAAAATATTTGGATTTGTAAGGGACATTGTGTTGTTCAAAATGTTAATGTGTCTTTTAATATACCTAATTTGGTAACACTTTATAATAGCTGCACACTATGAATGATTTATTAAGCATTAGCACATAGCGAATTCATTATCTGTTAAGCATTAACTCACAGTAATAAACTGCTTAATGAAGTTTATTAATGTAATCTACAAATGCTCTGTTTTTGACTTATAAGCACATGTGTACAATCTAAAGTAAGGACTATTTATGCTTTATAAAACCCTTATAAATGACAATTAAAGGCTCAGTTATATTCTAAACATGAAAAAATGAAAATAAACAACTTTATTAATTTGAAGATAGACAAATGAATCTGTATCAAATGAAAAATTTAGCAATTTTAACTAAAACAAATTACTGTGCAATTTAAACATCGCTAAATAACATTGAAATGTTGCATCATAATATATTGTTCAATTATTAAAGTTGTTTTTTAAAGCAATTTTTACAGTAATTTTATTTTTTAGATAGGAATGCAAAGATTATTGTTCATTTGATACTAGACTGCATGAAGTTGTGCATTTATTAGCAAACAAAGTAACCATTACTATACGCCTGAATAATAAGATATATAAAGGTTGATTTCAATAGTTTATTGATCATTTATTTATGCATTCTGAATGATCTGAAAAACCATTGACTATTCTTAAATACAACTGATTTGTAAATAATGCAATACTTAATTCAGTAATGAAAAATTAATAACTCACAAATTATTTAAGTACAACTATTAAGCACATTAAAAAAATGTGATTGTAATTCAAAAAAAGATTGTTTGTAGCTGCAGTTATAAACTGCTCACTAACGTTTATTAATGTAGAGTCAATGTTTAACAAATAATGACTTCACTATATGCTAATGCTTTCTAAATGATTCATAGTTTGCTGTTATTATAAAGTGAAAGCCCTATTTTTGACAAATGATACATTCATTTATTCATTCATTTTCTTTTTGGCTTAGTCCCTTTAATAATCTGGGGTCACCACAGCGGAATGAAATACCAACTTATCCAGCTTATGTTTTACGCAGCGGATGCCCATCCAGCTGCAACCCATCACTGGGACACATCCATACACACTCATTCACACACATACTGTACACTACAGACAATTTAGCCCACCCAATTCACCTGTACCGCATGTCTTTAGACTTGTGCAGGAAACCAGAGCGACTAATGACACATTCAGCTTCAATTATCATAAAATAATTAGGTCTAATTTTAATTTTCTTTGTGTTTCCTCTGTCAAGTTAAATAAATATTTGCTCTAAACATCTATTATTTGTTTATAAATATCAGTAAGTACATTCCATCAACTCTGTTACATTGCTTATTTAAAGGTATAACAATCTGTAAAGCCCTGGTAGTAAATCCATGGGATCTGCTGCAAGTAATGTCAATTCTTAAAGCCGGAAACTCTGGAAGGCATTGAGACATGTAAATTCTCATTCATATGTATAAAATGTTTAGAATAGAGCAAGAGTTGATTCATTATTTGTCAACTCTATTATTGTACTTATTCACATATCATTACAGTGAATTTCACATCTACATTTTAAAACCAAAATACAGTGAAAATGCATAAAATCCAGCATGACCTATCTGGCTGAGACTAAATAACTATTTGGACATATAATCCAATAACCAATGAATAGGTTTTAAATACAAATCTTGAAATTAATCTGTGCTTGATTTCAAAGACAAAATGCATACAATAACATTACATAGCTGATTTTATTTTTAAAACTTTACTAAAGAAAATCTAGGAACCGCAAGGATACTTCTGGACCTTCCAACTCCTCTTTTCCCCCGAAACAAACATGTTGGCTTCCCTCTAGCTCATATTCATCTAAACCACTCATTTTCTAAATGCAACGTGTCACATCATGTTAAAGGCGGCAGTTAAACCCTCATGGACAGCAGCATACATATACAGTGGATCAAAAGGCAAAATTAACCATAATTTACTAGCTGATAAAATATTCCAATTAAGCATTTATTAAGGTGTTGATGCAAAAGTATTCCAAATAAACACTTATTTGTGAATATCAACAATGGTTGCAGATACTGTATATCTAGCAGCATCACTACAATTCATGCAAGGTAATTTACAAAGGTATGTCAAAGTCAATTTACTGGTTTTCCATTATTATTTAACACCCAACATTTGTATCCGTGTTGTAAATTACAAACACTTTAACGTCTTCTCTGCTTGAATGTGAGCTATTTTTTGCTGGATTATACACGGCATTGGACATTATAAAAATTAAATAAATTCTTATTTAATGCACTGTCTTTAGATCACTCACAATAAAACCAGCTCCAAATACACAATCTATACACTTGTCTCAAGGATGTTGAGATCACTGCACTTCACTTCCATCCAAGGGACAAACACACTCCCTGAGAGCATAAAAAACAGGACTATGAGAATGATCCTATTCTGTCAACAGCAAGAATGCATGGCATGCTGGCCTTCTCTCAGCTATTCAGCAACTGAGAACGCTTTGCTACAGTGTGGAATATTTCAAGTAAGTGGAATATAACACTCAAGGTCATCTATAAATGATGCGCTCAGTCTGTTGCTCTTTTTATACTTGTCATACATGCATAAAAAAGAAACATTTCTATTCTAAAAAAACTATATTACCTTAAAAAACATTTTCACACACACACATTTTTTTTCTTGAAGTGAAGGTTATTTATAAACTAATTTCGAGAGGATCACGTGCTTATGATTGCTTGCTGCTGGTCCTGCATTATCTAATTTATGATTCACCAATCAGATGATTCATAAGCCACTATAAATACCCTAAGTTCCATATCACAGCCCTCTTCGTTTCGAAGAATACCCCCTTCCACCCCTACTCCTCCTTCTTTCCTAAATGGGTGGCAAGATGGCTCAGTGGTTAGCATGGTTGCCTCACAGCAAGAACGTCACTGGTTCTAGTCCTTACCAAGCCAGTCGACATTTCTGTGCGGAGTTTACACGTTCCCCCACGTGCTCATTTGGGTTTCCCCTGGCTTACCTGCTTTCCTCCCTCCGTTCAAAAACATGCAACTTAAGTTAATTGACTAATCCAAATCGGCACCATAGACATGCACCAGTAAGTAGTTATCTCTTAAGAGCAATGACTATGGGGGGAAATCGGAGCGCCTGGAGGAAACTCATGCATACATGGGGAGAACATGCAAACTCCACACATAAATGCCAACTAACCCACATTGGGCTCAAACCTGCGTCCTTCTTGTTTTGAGGTGACAATGCTACCCACTGCACCACTGCGACACCCACATTAATGTCGATTACACCTTAAACTACAATAACTGCGATAAATATTACCTCTAGGTTTATGTTTTATGCATGCTTAATTGCTGATCCATGGCTTTATTCACTGACCTACAAAATCCCAAGAATGACAGTGGCAGATGCAGGAATGAAGAAAAGTAATGAAATGTCAAAAGTTAATTAGAGCACTAAAACCACCCAGTGGTTGAATTAGGTATTGCACTCCTGGATCAAAACAAATGCAAGCACAGGTTGCCAGATTCAAGACCAACAGGAGCGAGTGATTTAACTGTGTTCTAAATCAAAGAAACGGCACCCGACAGAAGGAATATTTTCCATATTAAAATGAGTTTTTATCCTAACAAACACCTTAAATTGATATATTAGAAACGGCTTCTATTTCTTGCAGCTGAACAACAGAAAACTGACAATGATCACCTCAAGTACACCTCATGTGCTTTATTCAGTGTTAAATGCTAACAATGTGAGTTTAAATGACATTTTATATGACATTTATTGCCATAATACTGAAAGCAGCAGCAGATAGTTCACTGAAATAAACTGTCTGAAAATGAACTTTAGAACACGCGGTTACAATGTAACCTGCTCACCTAATGTCTATTCTCGTAATATTTCTATCATTTCCAAATTAATAACCTCATGTGGAAATCTGTGCCTCATTTTGGAGTCTGCTACTGTCCACCGGAGGTCACGTTTCGA